CTGATTCATTCGCTCTAGTTCATCCGATCTGTTTTTTCCACACTGGTTCGATCACACTGGTTAATTCAGGCTGGTTTGTTCCAGTGGTTCATTTATGCTGGTCCGTTAACTGTGGTTTGTTCACTTTGGTTAGTTCACACTGGTTTGCTCACATGAGTTAATTCACACTGTTTGATTCACATTGATTGATCATTCACGCTGATTTGCGTGTGCATGCGTTGAGGGAGTTTATCTGTTCCGTTTGCTGATGTTTGGCTGTGTTTTTCTGTTCAGAGTGGGCGTAGAGGAAGACCAGGAGGACAGTGTGAGTATCAGCAGATCAGACATTACTCATCCTGTAAACACCTGCTGTCTACTGTAAAGCTCTGCATAATTACAGCATGAATGTGCCAGAGTTATACACTGCTGTAATGATGATCTGAAAGCTGTGAAATTATTCAGGGCAAGCAGATTACAGTCATTTATACATTCATCTGCAGCCAGTTTGGATTAATATTCATGAAAACAGTGATTCTAAACTTTAAAGAAAGAGCCTATAATAGCTCTCTGTCTCTCTCTCTCAGGGCACAGAGCTGGACGAGGTGGTCAGTAGAAGCTGCAGTCAGGACGCTGCCTGGCCAATCAGACTGTGGTACACATTCGACCACAAGTATCCTTCAGTGACTGAATATATAAAGTCAAATACAATCAGCATCATTCAACAGTGCTGTACGATGTGTGAGATGAATTCTCAGAGCTGCAGACCTCGCACACTTCAGAGGATCTTTGCGTGGATTTTTTTACTGCTTTATTCACTACGTCTGACTCGACTCAGAGAAACTGGAATAAGTAATAATAAAAAGATCATTTTAGCAGATTAAATCAGACATTTTAATGCACACTGATCTCAGTTCAGCACACCTGCTCCAGCTCACTGTGGCCTTTATCATTAACTAAGCTGATTAAAGTGTAATGATGCAGGTGTAGATGGTAGAGGGCGCTCTTGTGTAGCACAAAAGTACAGTGTGCCACAGTAGATTTTCAGTTAGTCCAGGCATCTACAACTAAACTCTAATGTTAACCTTCACATCTGCTTCTTATTAGCCACAAACATTTACTCTGTGGTTATTCTTATAAATGACTGCTGGACTGTACAACTTATATAGAGTCAGTAAGAGAGAGATTTGAAGTGGAATTCCATCCATTTTTCAAAATATCTGAATAATTTAGTGGTTAACATGTAAACAGAGTTGTTCAGAGTGGTTCAGAGCGGTTTGGTGTGAAACGCTCTGTTCTAGATAAACTGACTGAGTCAGAACTGTTCACAGTGGTGGTGATAGGAACCAGACGTCCACCTCTAAAAGCTCCCTCACAGAAAGTTCCTACATGAAATGGTTATGAATTCACTGCCTGATGACTGAGACACTGTTTTATGATAGTTTAGAGAACTTAAACTCCATTCATGGTGGAGGGATACATGCAGGGCGCTGTGAGGCAAAATAGTCCCCAAAGAAAACTTATGATTTCAGATTTTCCACTATTTTCCATCATCAACATTCCATATAAACTCAGAAGACTCGTGTAGGTTCACTGGTGGTTCTGGATAGTAAAGTAAATGCATTTACATCTCAATCACGGTGAAATCTCCCTTTAGGAGAGTATATTTAAATAAAATGATTAACTGTTTTTGTACATAATGAAGCCGTTGCTTTACCTTTCCATCAAGAACAAACAAACATCCAGCCATTACATATGGAATATAGTCTAGTGTACTCTGAGTGTATGATGTGGGTGTAGATAATCCTTGACCTGTTCAGTTATCTGAAGCCCCTCCTAACCCATAGTGGTCCTCCGCTCACTAAGACTCTACCCGCCTGCTGCACACCTTTAGCTCGCTGCCTCACCAGCTCTCAGGACTACCAGGTAAAAAACACACACCTGTATCCTAAATGTAGTCGATCAGCCAGGACGTGTTGGTATCTGAAGTTTTAGCACTGGAGCTATGAGGCTAATATAGCTAACAAGTAATGGAAGCATGTTAGCAACAACAAGTAGCATGCTGCTAACTCCATGCTTAAGGCCCTATCGCCCCCTACACCTCCTGTAGTGTATTACAGTCTGTCAGAGTGACTGTGTGGATCATATGAACATTATAGAGGCTTTTTAAATGAAACAGTAGAAGCCATATCGCCCCCTACACTTCCTGTAGTGTATTACAGTCTGTCAGAATGACTGTGTGGATCATATGAACATTATAGAGCTTTTTAAATGAAACAGTAGAAGCCATATCGCCCCCTACACTTCCTGTAGTGTATTACAGTCTGTCAGAATGACTGTGTGGATCATTATAAAGTGCTAGAGAGTTACTCATCAACAGTATTAGCTACATTAGCCTTGCAGTTCGAGTGCTGAAACTAAAGAAGCAATTCAGACACCAAACACGTCTTGATTGATGGGGTAAAATATAATATTTGACTGAACTATCGCTTTAAATGTTAGATGGCTTATGCTGGTGTAGTAATTGAGGAATCCTGTGTTGTCCATCCCAGAATGTCCACCAGCCGCAGGACGAAGACTCAGAGCTGATTCTGAATGAAGGGTCCAGTCTACTCTACAGTGACCTGCTGGTCGGCAATGATGACCTCCATCACCTCTCAGCTAGTCAGCCTGAGAAGACAGAGGACACACTCCTGGCTTTACCTACTGAAGAGCCTTCACGACCTTTGACCCCTCTGACCCCTCTGACACCTCCCATCTCTGAGGCACTTCGCAACAGACTGTGAGGAGCTCCTAGCAGAAAAATCGGCACAACTACATTTAGAGCCAGTTATTCATTCAGCCTAATGAGAAACTGTAGAACAGACTCAGTTTATATCACAATACCTACATTTAGAGCCAGTTACTCATTCAGCCTAATGAGAAACTGTAGAACAGACTCAGTTTATATCACAATACCTACATTTAGAGCCAGTTACTCATTCAGCCTAATGAGAAACTGTAGAACAGACTCAGTTTATATCACAATATGTACATTTAAATAGCTAGAACTGATGTGCTAGAGAATGAGAAAACACTACAATGTGCAGCACAGGGGGTGCTACTAATCTACACCATCTAAAACCACACACTATACACTCTTTAAAAAGATGGTTCTTCAAGGGTTCTTTAGTGAAAACAGTGGTTCTGTTTAGAACCATGAACGCTAAAGAACCATTTGCATGCATTAGTGGTTCTTTGCATGCTGAAATGGTTCTTCAGACTGATGGACAATATGTTGCATGTGGCTCTATATAGCATTTAAGCTTTACATCATACCAATAGCAGAGCCCCTTTTAGTGCTGTCTAGAACTATTTTCAAAAAGATTCTATATAGAACCATATACACATTCTCCATCAATCCGAAGAACAATTTCATCATTCAGAGAACCATTTAAGCATGTAAATGCTTATTTGAGTGTTCTTGGTTCTATATAGAATCACTTTCTTTACTAAAGAACCCTTTTTAAGAGTGTACTGTATTCACTACGCAGACTACACTAATGACTGCACTCCTAATCGTGATGTAGTGTGTAACAGATATTGCGCAGTTTTAAATGCAGCTGTAATCAGATCTACAGTTCAGAAAGTTCCAGATGTTTTAATGGACCAGCATTCACAGAACCTCTGTTCCAGCTCCGCTCTCACTGTGTCCCAGGATACTGGAGTGTTTCTGTGTTTGGATCTTGGAGTTTTTGTTTTTTGTGTCTAATTCTGTTGAGTTATTTGTGTGTTTTTAAGCTTTGGGATTCTGCAGTATTTATTTATTGGCCTCATAAACACAGTTGTGGTTTAAATTAATGTGTTTTTTTCTTTCTGCTCTAAGAAACAAGCCAAAATAGGTCAGTTAGAGTATCAGAGTGAAAGAGGGTCGGAAATCATGTGTTTTATCCAAAGTGTTTTGAAATAAGTGCCTGAAGTTCAGTTCTATTTTTGTAATGTGCCTCTGTATCATACAAACTGTGCACAAACAGATTCATTTACTTAAACCTGTTTTGATTCATTTGTGTTGTCGTTGGAGTGTGGATGGTAAGACGGCTGTTGTGAAGGACGAAATTTATAATCAACATAAGCAGAATTTCAATAAGAAATAATGAAAAGAGACCATTTTGTTATTACTTGGTTAAAATGAAGCCATATTAGCCGCTACTGCATGGTACTGACTCGGCGCGGCTCAACTCGGCTCTGCTTGGTTTAGTACCTGGCACTCTTTTTGATATCACCTCAAATATCACCTTTGATATTTTTTATACTTTTTTGATACTTTTGATATTTGAAATCATTTTTTGATATCTCACAGCAGTGCTGCTGGAGTTTTAAACACCTCAGTGTCGCTGCTGGACTGAACCAAAAATATCCAGCCAACAATGTCCTGTGGGCAGCGTCCTGTGACCACTGATGAAGGACTAGAGGATGACCAACACAATTAAAAACAAAAACGCTGCAGCTGGAAACTCATCTCACTGTGACTGGACTCACGTGATGTTTGCCATCATGGTAACGTTTACTCTAAGCGCTACTCCACGCATGCGCGTCATTTTGGATCGGATTACTTGTTTTGCGCATGTAAACGTAGATTTTCATTGGAGTGTTGAGTACAGTGAGAATAAATGCCTCAGTCTGAATCTGTAATCGGAACGAATTCAATCGGATTGGCAAAAATCTTTGCATGTAAACACAGACAGTGTTACTGCAGCACTGAGAATGATCCACCACCCAAATAGTACCTGCTCTGTGAGGGTCCATGGGGGTCCTGACCACTGAAGAACAGGGTAACAAAGTATCAGAGAAACAGATGGACTACAGTCTGTAACTGTAGAACTCCAGAGTGAAACTATGTGTATATATGTATATGTATACACTATAATAATAAAAGCTGTTTTAGCCATAGTATCGTTTGTGGTACCGGGCGCAGCGATACTGACCTCGGTATCGATCCAACTCCAGACAGTGTCTGTGTCCCGCCCCGTGCGCGAGCACAATGCACACGCCTGCAGCGCGAGCTCAGAGAGCAGAACAGAAGGGGTTCCAGCGCGTGCAGCAGCAGCAGCAGGAGGACGAGGTGAGTCTGTCTGCTTGTTTATTTGTTTGTTTGTTTGTTCACTGCAGCCTGATGAGTCTGGCCGGGCGCACGTGCAGCGACTCAGTGTGATTAATGCACGCCAGCTCAGTGGAAGCGTATTTATTATTGCACAACCCAGTTTCTGAGGAAAGGCGCGCGCACACCTTTATGACGCGTTTTATTATCACACAGAAGAGCTAACACTATGTGTGTGTGTGCATGTGTGTGTGTGTGCGTGTGTGCGTGTGTGTGTGTGTGTGCTTTGGCCATTCAGGTTATACTGGTCTAATAGGCAGATGTAAACATCATAAACCTCCTCATAGTCAGCTAATGCAATAAAACAGTGCACTGTGGGTAATGAAGTCCACCTGAAGTGCCTGCAAACAGTGCAGAAGGTATCTAAAAGTTGTGAACCCTAACAGCAGGAGTGATGATGAAGGGCTGTTATGGTTTCTCTATTGAGATTATTAGAATTTAAGGCACAAAACATTTACTTTTCCAATAAACTGGTCGTTTTCATGATAATAGTGCATATTTTAAATTCCCTTCCTGCCCTATATTCTGAATAAAGTCCTTCTAAAGGCCATGTATGGCTTGTTATTTGTCATTTAAATTCATTTAAGCCTTTTACACTCAATTAATCATCAAAATAACCTGTAGATTGCTCTCCGGAGTCAGGCGGATACGTGTGTTTGTGAAGGGAAGGAGGGATGGAGGCAGAGCTGTGAGGAGATGGGCGTTGGGCAGCTGCAGGAATGTTCTGCATGTGGGCGATTAAAAGTGTCTGTAACAGAAAATCTGTTTCTTATTTAGCTTTTTCACTCCAGAGACGAAGAGGAGGGTCAGTTATTCTACAGTAGAAGCCACTGCTGGACTCTGCTGCAGAGCCAGTGAGAGAGAAACACAGGACAATATGAATTATTAGCCACAGTTACACAGAGAGGGAGAACATGGGTAGGAAATAATATCATAAAGGTGATTCAGAGTGGTTTGGTGTGAAATGGTTCAGATGTCTTTACGGTGGTGGTGATAGGAACCAGGGGTCGCCATGACTACAACACAGATATAGACATTTTATTTACTATCCAGAACCACCAGTGAACCTACACGAGTCTTCTGAGTCTATATGGAATGTTGATGATGGAAAATAGTGGAAAATCTGAAATAATAAGTTTTCTTTGGGGACTATTTTGCCTCACAGCGCCCTGCATGTATCCCTCCACCATGAATGGAGTTTAAGTTCTCTAAACTATCATAAAACAGTGTCTCAGTCATCAGGCAGTGAATTCATAACCATTTCATGTAGGAACTTTCTGTGAGGGAGCTTTTAGAGGTGGACGTCTGGTTCCTATCACCACCACTGTGAACAGTTCTAACTCGGTCAGTTTCTCTAAAATAATTTAATTACGCAGAGATTTTGAAAATTTGAAAAATCGCTGAAGTTCTCCTTTATGAGGCAGTTTTGACCCTCATTGACTGAAACTCAGTGGCAGTTTGTGCACAAATGAGTGCAGATTGCAACTTCTTGTTCACAGAATTATTGAAATAATGAATAAAACATCTTAAAATACATTTAATATTTAATTACACACTATATAAAATAACAAAAATGTAAATATCACAGCTGATTCCAAACTTTTGAACACTACTGTATGCATACAGTATGTGAAGTATACGTGATTAAAAATTCTGATGTACATTCAAATGTACTTTTTTACTAGTTGTTGCATTTAGAACATTATTTTGGGTGGATTTTCCCTCTAAACTCATGTTTTAAGAAGCAAAAATGTTAATTATGGGGCCATTTTAGCTGTTTACCTCTGGTTATTTCTGACCACAGAGAAAATGTCTGTCCTTTTCAGTGAAATAGTCCCGTTGTTGTTTTCTGTCTCTGTATATCTGCACTTCACAGCTGTACATGTTCACGTCATGCTGGTCTTACTCTGCTGAGCCAGATCACTGAATGCTTCACACTGTCCGTCTCTAATTTACATAGTATTTTCATTTAATAATGTCATTGTGTCTGAAATTTTAGATTTGTATCTTCATTCATTTCTGTGATGTAGAGTTTTTTAAAAATGGGCGTGGTCTTAATTTTTGCTATGGAGCACTTTGGGACCGTGGAATTTTTTTGTTTTGTAAAACTCAATGTGTTTCATGCTTTATTAAATGTAGCTTGGCTGAAGAGACTCATTTCATATTTGGTACATCTGTTAAGTGAAATCTGTTCTTTTCAACACACTTAAGATGGTTCTTCAAGGGTTCTTTCATAAAGAAAATGGTACTATATAGAACCATGAACACTCAAAGAACCCTTTGCATGATTAAAGGGTTCTTTGCATCATGAAATGGCTATTCAGATTGATGGAGAATGGGCTGTTGATGGTTCTATACAGAATCTTTTTAAATTGGTTCTATATAGCACCCACAGGGTTCTTCTATAGTAACAGGCTTCTATTGTTGCCCATTTTGCTGCTTCATGTTTCTATATAGAACCATTTTCTTACTAAAGAACCCTTGTAGAACCACTATTTTTAAGAGTGAAGAGTGAACATTCTTTTGTGGTAGACGTAGTCAGACATGAGCGATATGCCTTTGAAATGTTGCTGGAGTGTGTTTTTTATATTTACCAGTTAATAAATGAGAATCCTTTATTACTGTAGGATTAATATCTACCGTCCAGCAGTGGACTGTAATACGAGTAATGAATGCTAAAATCTGGAAGATCTAATGTGCTTCAGTGTGGAAATATAGAGGGCCAAAGTTTTTTCACCAGTTTGTGTTTGTTTTGGAAGTTAACCACACATTGAATGGCTCATGTCCTGCATATTTTTATCCTACTTTTTCCCTTCAGGCCACTTATGACATTTGTGTGGTGATTTGTATCAAAAACAGTTCATTTCATACAGGCACAATCAAACAGGCTGTTTTTGTTACTGTGCCTTTAAGACTGATCTATGTAAACTGATTGATTGGCTATCCTGTATTGTGTCTCCTTCAAAAAGCAGTCTCCTTATACTTTACTATGGATGGGCGGGGCTAAACTGCTGTAGGCTAACTGGGCGGGGCTAAACTGCTGTATGTTGAATGGGTGGGGCTAAACTGCTGCAGGCTGAATGGGAGGGGCTAAACTGCTATAGGCTGAATGGGTTGGGCTAAACAGCTGTAAGCTGGATGGGCGGGGCTACAACTGCTGTTGGTTGAATGGGCGGAGCTACAACTGCTGTTGGCTGAATGGGCGGGGCTTTAACTGCTGTAGGCTGAATGGGTGGGGCTAAACTGCTGTAGGATGAATGGGTGGGGCTAAACTGCTGTAGGATGAATGGGCGGGGCTAAATATTACTTACTTATTTTAAATTGGAATTTTTCCAATTTTTTTCATTTTTGAACCCTTGCATGTAACATAAATCGTTAAAGTTTGAAAATATTTAATTTTGTACCTTTTTTAGTTATTTAAAAAAACACGGCCACGCCCACATTTTAAAGGCCTGAAGGTAATGAAGATACAAGCCTACAGTTTTCTGTTGGGCACAGTGACGTTATTCAGTGACAGCATTAGTCTAATCTGAGATAGTCAGTCTGGAATTCTGTCTCATTGCTGGTTAATTTAAGGCGGATTCCAGCCGAACGCTCTGTGCTTCAGGGCTTTAACCCAGACTGAGGACACACGACAGAGACTCAGCTGATGGCAGTGAGAGAACCCCAAGGCCCCCAGTCTGACTGCAGCATTGTCTCTAAGGTCTCATGTGTGATTTAGTCACTGCTGTAATGTTTACTGATAAATCCTGCGCGTTCAGGAAATATTTCTGATCTAATCTACTGGCTGCTGCAGCGAGTCACAGCGAGTGAGTCTCTGTGTTTTTCCTTTCTGCCCCAGGCTGTCAGACTGAGTTCTGAGGTGTGTCCTGAGTTGCTCCTTTAACAGCGTTTCCCCAAAACCACAAATCATTATTACTCAACATTAGAGCCGTCACTATAACTTCATTAATAAATACGGTGATATTAAAGGGCCCATATCATGGAAAACCGATGCTGTGTCTGATAGATTGTAAACACTTTCAAAACGTACTCACTCCATACAGCCCATACGTTAAAACTGAGCTGCAGGCCTTATTTACACATTTACATTTATCCACCCATTCAGCCAACAGCAGTTCATGCAGAAGTTATGAGGAGTGTTGCACCCCAGACTGCATGGAGCTCAGCCAATCAGAACAGAGCTCATTTACATATATCAGTCTTAAAGGTAACAAAAATTACATAAAGGCACTTTTACATGTTATGATTAAAGACTTTATTGTTCCAGGGAAAATACTTTAAACATATTTTTACATGGACTTTGAGAATAAATGTCGGCTATAATAAAGGCCGTGTTAGTCTTTAATCCTCAGTGTGCCTTGGTGTGAAGTGAACTTATATTGGGATAGCCAGCCTTGTTACCAGAGAGCACCTTACTGCCTCTCCATCATACACCTGGAAGGAGTCACCTGAGGTCACCAATCAGCCTCTATTTAATAGACACGTTTCTGTGCAGCATCATCACAGCGATGCGCACAACTACGGGGGAGAAAGCAACATGACACGACACAGTTAACTGCCCGACCGCAGAGACGATGGTTGCAGGATGTTTAGCTCTCAGTAATTTCTCTCCATCACTGGGAACTGATTTACTGAGGTAATCAGCAACTCCCAGTGTTTCCATCCCCTCACTGTATCAGACCTAACGAGCTCGTAAACTCTGCTTGAACATCCGACAAAGTTGTGTTTACAACTGGTAATCTTGGGATTCTATATGATACATGAGGTTACGAGATGTGGCATATAACAAAAAGCGCTAAACTTGCAGTGAAAGTGAAGCAAGAGGCCACATTACAGAATCATCTTAACTCTGAAATCTGCTCTGTTTGGTCTCCATGACGACTTCAGTACGGACTGAATTTGATACAGTAGCTGTTACAGAATAACAGTTCCTACCTTCATCATCTCATCATGAACTCCAG